AACTTGAATTTTATCTTATTACTCTTGCAATTCTTAAATAGAAGTTTAATACCATGATACGGGAAGATTAATAACATGATAAGTTTTAACGAAAAAAATATGGGGCTCCTTCTTTCTCTTATATTGTCAAGATAGACAAGATCAATGACAGAAATATGTGGATAATATTAAATTTATATTTCATTAGGCAGTTGCATTTATTTACGTCTCACGTAATAGTAATATTTCTTTGCAATACTAAATTATTACAGTTGATTGATAGTTTTTCTTTCTTTTATTTATAATAAAATAACTTAATGCACAAGTTGTACGCAGGCGGACTTAATGCACAGCGCATTCTCTCCCCTTCGGGTAATGCAGATATATGATGCGGTAGGTGCAGAGACAATTTCTTTTTTATCAATTATAAGTTCTAAGTAAAAAATAGGTTTTTTATATTGTTTTCTTACAATAGTTTTCTTTCTTTCTTTGATGAAAGGTTACATGAAGCACTTTCTGACCTCAATAGTAATTTAAGAGTCAATGTTCCGAAACAATAATACATTTCAGACGCGCAACCTTACAAGCGAACTTCGCTTTCAAACTCACTTCAATGCTAGGGTTAGCTGTACCTGTTAATTTGTTTACCGAACAAAGGATAACTCTTATGTTAGTTCCCCGAGGTTTATTTAATATTATCTACGATGAAATTGAACGTTTCTAAGGATTCGATAACATTGTTTTAAAGTTAGCTTTCTATCGAACTGAAATAATATTGTCAGTAACATTATTATTATCTATGGATGTGTGAGAGTTTTGAGCAAGTTATTTCGGGTAGGGCGGTCAGGAGGCGTTAATCAATTCAAAAAATTTATACTTTATTTAACGTGGTAAATTTTTATGTTCTTACATAACCTGAATGAAATGACATGGTATGACATCATAATTTCCTACTATTCAATTATTTAAGTACTTTAAGTGGTTAAATTATCTGCCATAAAATGTGTGGATAGTAACTTTGTTAATTGCAAAAGCATTGTAAAGTCTTAGTGACTTTGTCTTAGACTTAGTCTTAGTGAGTCGTGCTGTTAAGTCACTAAGTACGATGTCCCATTATTATATTTTTTAAACATCAATAACATTAAAACTAGTGAGAATAGGAATAGGGTAATATTAGAAATCAACGTAAACTTCTATAAACTATAAATGTGTACAAACCCCACTTGGCTTCAAAAATATTCACTCAATTTCATAAGTTGAAAACAGAGTGACCTAAAAAACTGCGAGCGTCGGCGTTGTACCCTCCTACACACGCGTTGAGAATAAAGTTAGAGTACATTCATTAAATAGTGATAGGTCTTGCGACCTACACTGTTTGCCGGCTTTGGGGAATTAAAAACCTTTCATAACGTTTTTTAAAGCGTTCAGATTATACCTAATTATAACAACATGCATTTTTTTAGTTACGTAACTTTAAGCGCCATTATATTAGGTATTTACCTATTAAGTTGGAGATTTGTATGACAATTTTAAAATATACATTTTTTGTTTTTTTTTTTTTAATTTTAGCTATTCAAAGTACTGGCAGAAATTATCTATACAATTTTGATTTGATATCTATACATTTTGATGGCAGTTTGTGTAGTATCCCGTTACTGTAGAAATTTGCTAGACGGGTGACGATTAAATCAGCGAAAGCCCTTTGTACTGCCTCGGGTGTTAAATTTTTCCCACTTAAAAAAATGTCAAAATTTTGAAAAAGTAGGTTTGTGGGGTAAGCTTCGGTACGGTGGGTGGCAGAGAGCTTCCAGGTGTAACTCTTGGAACTTTGCGATGTCGCGAAGTGTGAACTAGCGCTGCCGTGGGTGGGCAATGGCGTAGAGCGATTGACGAGTCGTGGTTGTTGAATTGCGAGCTTCTCCATCATTGTTTGCAATTCTTGGCAATAGTCATCTGGCGTCACTGTTGTGCCATTCGGTCGGTGTACAAGTCCAGCACTGGTCCACCAGACAGTCACCATGATCTTTCGATGGGATTTTTAGCGCACTGATTAGGTGCTGCACCCGGGTCCACCCACAGACGAACCTTGCGGTTGTCGTACAAGTTCAACTTTTCATCGCAGGTAACAATTCGATTTAGCGTTCCCTTGTTTCTATGCCGATTTAGCAGTGCTAGGCATGCTTCGAGGCGTAATTCTGACACTTTCTAGCTTTTTTATCTTTCCGATTTGACGCATGTGCTTCAATGTTGTTTTGATATGACCTCCAAAGCCCGCAGCAAGCTCAATCTTAGATTGAGTTGGATCCGCTTCCACTATCGTCTTTAATTCGTTGTCGACCATAGTTACCGGCCGACCGCAAGGTTTATACTTCAAGTCAAAATTTCCAGATCTAAAATGATTGAAAAAAAAATGGACCGTGTTTATGCAAGCAGTGTTAGGCCCGCACATGTCGTTATAGCCCGAAGAACATAAACGTTAGGGATATTATTATAATGAAATTGTGAAAAGTCCCCATCTCGATCCCATGCGTGTAAATTTTTTTATGCAAGGACGAAAGTTAGCGAAAATGGGTTCTTTGGATTTTTTAGCGAAACTCTAGTTTTATAATAAAAATAGGATAGACAAAAATGTAGATCATGCTATTATTTACAAAAATTGACCTTACACTTTTTCCCTATTCCAAAATATACTACGGTTGTATTTCCCATAATATGCAGGACTACGTTGCCTATGTACATCGTTGGACTCATAAATGCTTAGAAAACTTTGTATAAAATAGGAAATCCTTAGAAGTGAAGTGAAGTTGTTAATTTCTTCAAACGGATAATAATGAGCCAGCTACATAACATTACAATGCGTAGCCCGACACTGACTTTTCCAGTTTTTTTAAAGGCATATTGTATTAAAAATATTTGTGACTCGGATGGACATGGATAGGAATGAGTATATACGAGGGAGTCTAACATACGCCACTTGATGAAAAGTAAGGTTATCTTGGTATTTACATGTCATGCGGAGCGATGAGAAAAATATGGCGAAGAAAGTGTTGGGAAGTTGAAGTGAAGGGTACAAGAGAAGAGGAATACCAAAGAAAAGGTGGATGGACTGTGGGATGTGAGGATATTACTAGGAAGGGAGTAAATAGTGAGATGACGAATAATTACGACGACGAGTAGAATGGAAGAATCATACTTACTGCGCCGATCCCAAATAAAATTGGGATAAGGATAGTCAGATGAAGATGATTATATTAAAAATATTTAGAACGAACGTTTAAACATTTAAAAAACCCGATTCCGATTCAGTGACGCAGATTTGTTCAAATGAGAGTTCTAGCGATTCAGTTAAATCCCATGCCTTTTCAACCTATTAAACCTAACGTTCATGTAAAAATTTAGCTACTTGGGTATTTATGCAATGGTGGTATATCTTGACTGGACTATGTTTCGTGGTGTTTGCGCAACGGTATTTCTACCTAGGAACTCATATTCGTAAATTGAATGAGTTTTCAGTTATCGTTGGTGCCAAAAACTACCACAATTTCACATAAACAAAACATCTAATTAATTTACAGATAATTAAACTTTTCAAGTTTAATTATCTGTAAATTGCTGTAAATGCTGTTTTTAAAAAACTTCATAGGTACCTAGATAAAGGTAGAAAGACCTATTATTATGTGAAGGTCGCATTTTGATCTGCTCAGCTACTCTAGGCGGCAAATTATAAATCGATAAATTTATTTATGCAACATTATGAAACCGTTTGTGGGCTCTTAATGTATGAAAGTATGTTCAGGCTATAATTCAATAAGTCTGAACGAGACAGCCTTATGTACATACATTGTGCATTTATTTGATTCTGGCTCCATTTTGACACCATCTTTCACGGTACCGTATAATTACGTTCCGGTGAATATTTATATATATAAAGAAAGATCCTTCTTATTTTGTATAACATCTTTCTACTTATTTAAACTGAGAACATCCACTTTACGGATCATTAAAAAGCGATTCCTCTAACAACAAGCAAGTTTTTTTTTAAAGATTTTACACGATATAGCATTTGAGTTTCATGATGTCGATCATCATTACAGACAGTTTTAATCCCTCTATAAAAACGGGGTTCTTTTTCGATAATGATCCTGTTAGTAACATTGCATCGATCTTCGCTACCCTAATTAGAGACAGGGTACTATAAGTATCTGTTGAAGCTTTTGCCCAAACTTTAGTACTACGTCGTACGTAGTAGTAGTGTTAGCGACTTGTTTTTACGTTGGATTTTGTCGCCGGTATTAATGTAAATAGGTATATAATCACTTAAGAAATAAATACATTCTTTCTTTTGTTCATCATAATAATTTTCATACATATTGGAATAGGCACAATAAGATACATATCTACCGTACCCTTAATAATATATTTTATAATATTTATAAAAAGCAACTTCAATGCTAGCGGAGCCTATAAATACTTTAATTTGATGTAGGTAGCATAGTAACACAAAGTTATGATGTTTGATTCGCTATAAATTAGGTAGCGCCTGTGTGAAATAAAAAATTTCATCGCCATGTCTGTTTAGTGACAAAATTCATAATGTTATGTAATATGGATGTACTTATAATATGTGAAAAAAATATATAAAAGTATATGTCTGAAACTTATTTATTTTTCAACTTATTTTTCTTCATAAAAACTGTAGGAAAGCTAACCAATTCTCAAAAACATTAACAACTAATTATTTTGAACTTCGGCGTAAATTCAATAATCAATTCTCTTTGTCTATTCCTCAAACTATTAAGGAATACAGATAAAAATTGATGTTTCGTATTTTCAACGTAATGTCTGTTTAAGATTTGCTTAGCAGTAGGTATATATTATACGCATACCGCATTATGTTTGTGTAACTAGTACCGTATTACGGTAAATTCTAGAGAAGAGTGTCGCCAACCGACCGTCATGTAACCCTGTCCCGCCCAAACTGAAATGTTTTTCCACCTTGTTACGTGAATGTTATATTGCAGGGTGCCGACGAGCAACTTCACAGTGAACGACGTGCGCATGTGCGTCGGTTCGCGCCGATTGCTCGACGTCATGGACGTGAACACACAAAAGAACATCGAGATGAACATGAAGGTATTTAGTGTTTACATTCTTCGGTAACACAGGCGACAAAACTATTGCGAAAAGAGCTCTTCATTATTTAAAAATATTTATTTTTAAAATTCGTGTTCACAAAAACTTTGTCTTTATACTCACTAACTTCTATACTTAGGAAAACATACGAATACCCCATAACAAATTCAATCTACAATACAATTCTATCGGTAAAAACTGAAAAAATAATAATAATACTAGTATGATATGTATTTAAGAACTGCTCCAGAAAGTAAGTATCTAACGGGTTGATATTAAACTATAATACCTACGTATCAATCGGTATTACACCATGTTGTGCCTTGAAGGAGTGTCCTAGGGCCATTAATCTTTTCTTTTATCCAAAGTTACTTTTATTGCCAGGTTCAGACTTTACAGATGAAATCTGAAACTCATTTCTTGACAAAGATGATAATTGTTAATTAATCATAATCTCAAATATAAATCAGCGAAAGAGCCTTGTAAAATTCGCATTTGTCTCTATTCCAGAACTATTCCTAAACTTTGATATTAATTAATCGCTTTCAATAAAAAAAGAATCGAAGTAAAATAATCAAAACATATGCAAAACTCATTCTAAAACTGAATATTCAAGTAAAAAACAATGAGTAAATGAAACAATGTTTCAATTAATTTGCACGAATCTGTTTCAACGATAAATGAATAAATTATTTCACGTCGTAAATGCGGCTACCAATCTCAATACAATGTTCTTTCCAATAAGCAAGACGTACTGGTATTATAGCTACGGATCACCTGTGTAGAATAAGGAGGAAATCACATAATAAAGTTACTCATACACTTAAATTTACCAGTAAATATTATTTTTATCTAACTAAATTTGCAAACATCGATGTCTATAAACGATGTCATTAGGTCACCAATGTCATCTCTTATGAAGCTCTAGTGACTGTATGGCATATAAAAACCATACCCACGCCAGTAGAACCAAAATATAGATGAAGACGGCTAAGAAAACAAAAAATATACAAAGAAATCACTTTTCAATATAACTTGAAGAGTGGAAGGAAAGTAATGACGGGCAAGTTGGTCAAGTGGTTAGCGATCCTGATTGCTATGCCACAGGTCGTGGCTTCGATTCCCACCCAAGATAAATATTAGGTCTTTACCTATGAAATTGCCGTTTTGTATGCAATAAGTGAAAGTACTTTTTTTTTCAAACTTATTTATTTCTGTTATTCGAAGTAATCACCCATGCAATCGACGCATCTTTGCCAACGCATTGGCAGTTTATTGATGCCCTTCTTGTAAAAATCAGCTGGACGGGAGGCAACAAACTCTTCAAAGGCAATTTGTACTGCCTCTCGGGAATTGAATTTTTTTCCCACCAAAAAGTAGTCTAAATTTTGGAAAAAGTAATAGTCGGTAGGTGCAAGGTTCCTTAGGGACCTCTTCAATATCACCGATTCAGGGCCCATAAAACGTGTGCCTCTAAGTTTGTCTTAAATTTTTGGAAATAAAAAGAAGTCGCAGGGTGCGAGGTCCGGGCTGTAATTCGGATGCGTCATCAGTTCTACATTTGTAGCTTTCAAATTGGCTATTGTTACCTTACCTTACCTTGTGAGGATGCGTTATCGTAGTGAAGGAGGACATTGCTTCGAGGAAACTTTTTGCGAACTTTTTCTAAGACTAGGCGAGCAATTGTTGACGTACCAATCTGCAGTCACTGTCCTTTAATCTTCAAGCTAAACTGTAGTGTAATGTCGTGATTTGCAAAAAAAGGTGCAACCATTTTTTTACCAATGTTTTGACTTTTCTTAACTTTCGTCGGTAAATCTTCAAAAGGAAAGACCCAGTGTGCCGACTGGCTTTTTCTTTCAGGTTCAAAGCAGTACGTCCAGGATTCGTCACCTGTCACGATTTTATTGACAGCCAATGACTGTCCTCCGTTAGACTTTTTTCTCATTTTGCGGCATCACTAGACACGAAGTCGTTTCTGGTCCTCGGTTAAGTCATGCGATATCCATCGACTGAAAGCTGCTGAACCTTCAGATGTTTTGCACCTGGCTCATTCCAATACCTAACAAAGCACTAATTTGCTGACAAGTATTTTTTTTGGTCAGTTTCAATAAGTTGTCGTACGGTGTCAATATTAGAGTCTGTAACCGCAGTCGCTGGTCGACCTTCACGTACCTCGTCTTGGAGGTGATCACGTCAACGTCTAAATTCTTCAAACCACGAATACACAGAGCTGCGACATGGTGCTTCGTTACCAATTGCCAATTGAAGTCACTAGCAACTCTCGTTGATTTAAACCACAACAAAAAACATAAAAAATCATATAACGAAAACGTTCACGAGTTAAATTCATTTTGATAGCGACACACAAGTTTTAAAAGGCCGTTACAATGAAAAAACAAAAGATATTCTTGCAAATTGAAAAGAAACATCTTCCTAAGGACATTTATGATTCCATAAATGTTTTTCATTTTTTTATTGTAAGTGGCCAGATCCAGATACTTTCAGTATGCCCAACGGAGAGCGGCCGAATATATCCATCCGCAGTGTATATATACGTCTAAATATTTAAATCTTTTCCGAGTCTTTTTTTACTTACCTATATTATAGTACTAGCAAAGAACAAAAACAAAAGTATGAGAATGCAATAAGGGAAACTATATTATTGTAAAAACTCCTCAGACGAGGAAACCCTTCCAAAATATATTCCCATTTCTAAATAGATATTATTATGATGACAAACAAATCAATGCAGCAGTGTTATTTTTTCATTTTTGGAAGACGGATTTGGAATAGATTTTTTTAAATATATAGATATACAATATCATTGTAGATGTTGTTTCGAAAGTTTAGTGATCTTGCTCTGTTGTTCAGTAAAACTTTTTACCGTAGTATATTGTAGTTTTGTCGAGGTCACTGTCATTTAAAGTTATTAAAAGTCATTAATAACCAGTAAACATTTCTTCCTTTAAAGTATTACAAATAGGGCTGGATAAGTTCCTATTCTAAGATAAAAATGGTTAGTCAAGCCGTGACTAACCATTTTAACGTTCTTTTCAGAACTATATGATTCTGATATTTTCATGGAGAAAAATTTCTCAATATAGTAAATTAAGTTGCTTTCAATTTCATTTAACCATATACATGTCACGATTCATCATTTAAAATCTTACAACAACAAATTGTGTGAAGAATCGTATAAGGCAGTGGTGCATGTTTTGTGTAAATATCTCATATGAATTTCCAATATTGCTGAAAATTGAAATACACTGAAAGACCAATTATGTCAGCATCATAAATAGTATATGTAGACCAGGGATTCCCAAACTATTTTGAGCCAGAGACCCCTTTTCCGAAATGAACTGATACCTCAGATTTCCATAGCCAAATTACTTTAAAAATTCTATCTCTAGTTTTATTCCTATTGATACAAAATATTTTCAAATTTAAAAACGCCATTGGTTAAGTGAGTAAACTTGACATCATTTTCTCATCAAAATTTAAGAGAATAAATAGACATATCTGTCAGTCTTATAACAAGTTGGTAGTTGGTACACGTAACACAACTTATACAGTATCTTGAAAGTTGTAAATAAGAAGCTTTGTAAATTGATTGGGGTCGATTTTTAGACCTCGTTGATGCCCAAAATCAGTTTACGTTTAAGTCGACCCCTGGAAAACCGATTTCGAACCCTTGGGGTCGAAATCTTACAAACACAGCAAAACTAACGGACGAAAAGTATAAAATTGAAAAAAAATGTATGTAAAAACCCCACAATTATTCACGTGTAGATTTATTAGCTTGAAATAATGGAAACCAAGAACACCCAAAACTCGGAAAAACTATTTTATAAAGCACCCACATTTTTGCCTCTATTTGGGAACTGAACCTACAAAACTCGCGATTATGACAACCATATACGTGCAATCAAACAGGAATACAATGCATTTTATAAATCTTGTCTGTTTGTAATCTGTAATTAGTTAAACAATATTTCAGCATGAATTAGATTAAGAAAATATATTATCTTACGTTTGCTGCGCTCACTACCATGATCCATTTACACATCGTTCATCGATCGTTATCTACGATTATATAACATCAACTGATTGGCCGATCGAATATTTACACGAGGCCTAACATTCATAAAGCAGAGTTTTAACTTACCATTACTAGTTAGATAAATTGCTGATAAAATTGCTTTACTTTCTGTGTATATTTTTTTCCGGTACGAAATAAGTCGTTCGGATATTGTCTTTGCTTTAGGTTCAAGTATCTACACTACTATAATAGTAATAATAACGTGACACCTCTCACACGGCCGTCTGATCCTAGTCAGAGAATGTGATGATGCTATGAGACTGCTGATAAACATATTGATATATTTTTAAATACATACATGTTATAAATAAATTACACCCAGACACAGAATAAATGACTGTACACGTCACACAATTATTTGTCCTGGGTGGGAATCGAACTCACGACCTCTGGCTCACGCTCTTGCAATCACGATCATTAACCTCTAGACCAATAGGCCCGTCAACTGTTATATGTTGTTACATATAATTCGTTTATCTGATGCATGATTTCAGCAGTTAATTGTAGCATTACGCTTAATCAAACAATATTCCCCTTAACAATGATGCTCTTCAGCATATCAATGACATGTATGTAATAGTACAATAAAATAGCTACTCTTTATGTAAGTAAATTTATTTATAGCCCGCCCCATTGCAGGGCAAAGGCCTCCCCTCTCCCGTCCACGTCTCTCTGTCGTGTGCTAGTTCTGACTAGTCTTTTCGGAACCTGTATAGATCGTCCCACCACGCCACGCCTCGTCGCCTGGGCTATCACGCTGTTTTTTGGCACTTTGTAGGACCAAGTTGTGCTAAGTCCAGTACCACTTGAGTTCGGTGACTGTGAGTAACATCTGTTATTTGTGTTTTGGAGCGTAGTACTGTATTTCTTCCGTACGCCCAGAATACTACGCTCAATTGCCCGCTGGCAAATCTGTAACGTGGACCTCTGCTGTCCAGTCGATGACCAAGTTTGTGCACCATACGAGAGAATAGGGAGCATGCCCATGTCCACAAGTACGAAGAAGAAAATAGCACAATATCATCGCCAAAACGGAGGTTCGTTAACCTCTTTTCGCCGACATCTATACCTCTGTTTGCCTATCCTTCAGATAAGCTTCTTAAAATTTCTTCTAGAGTGGCTGTAAAAAGTTTTGGTGATATCGCCATGTTTGACTCGTACTTGGATGGGAAAGACTGTCCCTATACTATGGATCTTAATTAATACGGTGTAGATTTTTTAAATACATCTATGTAGTTTTTCTCTATGCCCTGGATGTGAAGTACGTGAAAAAGTGCAATATTTTTTTTAAAGATTTCACTTTTTCCTGCATTAGGAATATATTATAGTGTGTCGCGGAGGACTTTACAAACACATATGAAACGAACACAAAGAACACCCAAACTCACAACAACAATTTGTGGATCACACTAAGCGTTTTCCCATGTGGGGAATGAACCATCAACACTCAGCGTAGTACGGAGCGGCGTGGCGACCACTTAATAAACCACTACCCCATCCGTGCATTGTGTTGTATGCTGTCGAAGGCCTTGGTGTAGTCGATAAATGCAAGATATAACGGCAACGGAGATGGTCAATTGTGGATAGGCCTCGTAGAAATGCAATCTCGGGGAGTTCATCATCATCATCATCATCATCATCAACAGCCTATTATAGTCCACTACTGGACATAAGCCTCTCCTTAGAAAGGAGGTTCGTGGAAATCAATTTTGCTAGAGATTCTGGTTTCTAAAGTTTTAATGAAAGTTTTGTATAAATGAGATATCCAATTAGTAGTTGTTTTAATTATTTTTATTAGTTTTTTAATGAAGTAGTACGTAGTGGAAAATTTTATTAGGTACTGTCTTCGTTTGAACAATTGTATTAAATTAATGTGTGATATAAGGTAGGAGTATGGCTGTCCAATTTTCAGCGCTTCTGTTTGTTATGCCATCTTCGCCGGGGCTTTTACCGTATTTCAAATATTGAAGTGCCCAATGGACCTCATACTCTGTTATTGGAGCTATAATATCTGTAGGAGGTTGGATGTGTTTGTGTAGAAATAGGTATGATGTTAGAGGGTACAGTATATAACTTCGGGTAGAAGTCTGTGCAGATTTGTAACACCTTCTCTTTCTCTCTGTGTACGATACCTGAGTTATCCCTAATCGTTGTGATGGTAGATCGATTTGTTTAAGTACCCCTCATAACTATATTTTAAGATTTATTGTTTTCTAAGGCTACTTGTACCAAATTACCATTGCAGTGACGTATATCTGTTCTAATAATGGCTATAAATTTACACTTAAAGTACCAGTCCTAACCATCCTCGCACACACGCTACACACACACACACACACACCCACACACCAGACGCCCATACACACACACACACACACACACACACACACGCCCTCACAGCGCAACCATTCGTATATATATTTTTAATGCAAAATCTTTTTACTGTTTACTCATTCACACACTCTAGTACGCTTTTGACATGTTGACAAATCTGCTAAGTGTTATGTAATGGGGGGCCTGGAGATCTATAGTACAGGCCTCGGCTTAGTTTAGACTCCAGATCTCCCACAAATTGCAAATTTCTTGACAGTTTTCCTGTCAACTGTTAAATATAAAACAAAATGTAATTTGTGGAGATGAAATAAACATTTTTATTATTATTATATTATTATTACACTTGAAATATTTAGTGTGTATTACCACAAATATTCACATATTGTTTCGGGGCCTTTCTCTCTTTTGGTTCTTTAACGAGTGTTTAAGAAGTACATGGTGGTAAAACTTGATCAATGTACGTAATGCTTGGTAAGCGAATAAGACCTGCATATGGCTGATTTTCGATGCTGTATATCGACATTCGGTGCAGAACCAGATATAACGACAGTCAAATATGTGGTAAACTGTAGATGTATACGGAAATCACTTACTTCCGTATTATTTATGAAAATATAGTCTTACCTTTTAACATTTCGTTGCTTACCATCAGGTGACCCGTCTGCTCGTTATGCCATTAAAAACACAATTTTTTTATCTTAACTATCCTGTCTAATTTCTTATATTTTTCACTATTAATTTGGAATGTAAGCCGTTCTTGTATGAAGAAATAGTTTCATTACTGAGTTTAAAGTCTTTCCGTTTTTGTCGTTCTATTTTTGAGCTAGCTTTTTTAAGACACTGTTTTAGTAATGTATACTGTTGATCTGGATCTTCCAAGTTTAGTAAATCAAAACTGTGTTGTTGTAATTTAGTCAATGTTATTTATTTAATACGTTTAATTTGACTTTCATTACATCACTACAAGCTTTTATGTGTTACGATGTAATTACATGTACATAAGTAGTATCTTTCATTAAAATCTGCGACGATGGATTTCAATTACCTCAAAGCTTTGCAAAAATGTAATTCTGTATGGATAATAAAACATTGTTTGAATAAAAAAATTAATGTGCTTATAAAAAGAAAGTATCATTACGTTTCGCCTCAGACGATGTTTTAGGTTTCAAAAGGTCTAATTCTAAACAAATTAATAGTAAAAGATATAATACCATATCGAAAAGGCTTTAAGAATTCAAAGAAGTTGCACGTAAGCAATATCGTATCGATGTAAGTTTCAAAAGGCGACTGTTTTACCGCTATCCGTAACCCGTATTCAAAATACTTCTCTTCAACATTATTTGTGTTCGACATTCTGTCTCTTTCTTTTTTGATCCTCTAATTGCTCTTGATAAAAATAACACTGAATGTGAAAATTCTTTGAACATAATTAATTATTAAAGTTCTCTTTCTGCTACTAAACTTAATTACCTTCAAAATATTGTATTAGGCGTTTTAATAGCTAATAATAAATGGTATATTTTGGGAGTAACTTTTTGATTAGGCAGAGGAACAGAGGGAACACATACGCACAATAAAAATGATTGATGTTTCAACCATTTATTTTTTATATTTTAGATTGCCATTTTTTTATTTAAAATGTACATGAAATACAATAAGACAGAATTTTCTAAAAGGAATGTGACAACAACAACATATATTCTGTTTATCATTTTTCAATTGCCATGTTACAAACATTCGATTTACAATGGCGACAAAGGTACAACTAATTTACTATACTGTAAAGGACAAACATACAACACTGTAGAAGTAATGTAATGATGGTGTTTTATTACTATTATTCAATAGTGTGTAATGAGACAATGTAACATTATGTTACAACCATTATCAGCGGAGTAGCGATAAAAAACGCCAATAAAACTTTGGGGAATTCAGTATGTGATCTTAGAAAATATAACACTGTGAATGACGTTGCAATAAGTGCATATCTTTTTTATAGGATTGGCAGCGCTACTATGACGATCCGAACAAGGAGCGTCTACTGAACGTGATCTCATTAGAGTTTTCACACACACGACTGGAGAACTACGTACAGGCACCGCGTATCGTGCGCCTGATCGACTGGGTCGACACTGTGTGGCCGAGGCATTTGAAAGATCAACAGGTGAGATATTAACAGCAATAAACACGTATATTATGTTCACTGGTCGTCCACAAGTATCTTAAAAGCTTTAAGTTTACAGTAGTATTCTAGTTCCTAATCATATCACATCAACAGTGCTTAACAGTCCACTGCTGGACATGGCCTTTCCTTAAAAAGGAGGTTTTGGCCTACTATACCACGCTGGCCAGACGGATTTGTATAGGGTTTGTGTAGGTAAGTTTTACTCCTCTTTGTATTGCTGTTGTCCTGCGTTGTTTGTGCCCTTAGTCTTTTTTACCCACGGGATGAATAGGAGTGGTGACGTATTCTTAATCATTCACCACAGGGGCGATTCCTAGTACGAAATGTGTATTACATTTCTAAGTACTGACAATAACAAGTAAATTATTTAAAAAACAAACAATAATAAGACTTCACTAAAATTTACAAACCGGTTTTAATTTTTAATATTTTCATATGCCTAGTCTAACTCACAACCAAGACGAAACCTCAAACGCCAAAATCTATCAAGTCGCCAAACAATACATGCACTCGAAAACATAACCCGCCTTCTGGCGAAGGAGTAAAAAACCACACAAGTACATGTGTCAGAATAGGAGTGAACTGACCAGTATTTAATGTACATATCAATACATACTTTTAACCAAGAAGAATTATGCAAAATATGTTGAATAGTTCCAAGTTACATTAAAACGAAACGATCCTTGTTCACATTTTTATTAGGATTTGAAACAATGCAGCTTAGTAATTCAGAGTATTCATGCTTATGATAATTACACACTCTGTGTGCACTATTGTTGCTTTCTTTGTTGGATCGACATTTTCAAAAATTTATATTCTTATGTACTTGACAATAAACTTGAAATAAGTTGAACGACGTTATCTTTTTCATCTAATTTTATTTTTGTGGTGAGTCACGAAAAACATATGTTTCGGCGTTTTTGTAAAATTTATGTGATCGTATCCTTGGAAAGCCTTCGTTTGTTAGTCGGTCACTCACCGAGCTATTTTTTATAATGAGTATTTTTAGACACCTTTTTTTCAAGTAATGAATGATTATAATACTCCACTGAACTATTAGTCTATTAATTTTTCATCGTCATTTTTATAGCAAGTTTTTGACGCAGATTTCCTATATCCAAATCTCAGGTTGATTGGATATGGACAACTGGATTTTGATGGCCTATGCCATAGAGGATAGTTATCCTGGCCAGTTGTAGGTGTGACTCCTGCCCAGGACAAACAAGTAATGAACATTTGTACTGGATATAAATAAATCAATACTATGTATGTTTTTGATTATGTAGCTACATAAGAATGACTATGACAAGCTATGACTAGTTAGGATCTGACGGACGTGTGTGAGGTTTCTCAAGTTATTATTGTTATCACAATGTTTTTAAACGTTGCGATTGTGAAATTGTCAGTTTATTTATTGTATCTTTTAATTAAAAAACGTTTAAACTCGGTTTAAATTTTATTATTAACGTTTACAGACTGAGTCAACAAATGCTTTGGACGACATGATGTATCCAAAAGTGCAGAAATACTGTCTTATGTCAGTTAAGGGCTGTTATACAGATTTTCACATTGACTTTGGAGGCACTTCTGTGTGGTATCATATTTTAAGAGGTAAGACTATATTTTCATAAAACACTTATTTCCGTGTACATCTACAGTTTACCACATATTTGACTGTCGTGATATGTGGTTCTGCACCGAATGTCGATATACAGCATCGAAAACCAGCCATATGCAGGTCTTATTCGCTTACCAAGGATTACGTACATTGGTCAAGAAAGAAAGACCCTGAAACAATATGTGTATATTTGTAGTAATACACACTAAATATTTCAAGTTTAAACCTATTGCCATTATTACGAATGAGCGTTTTTAATATTTGTTTTTATAGCTACATTAATGCTCTGTGAAAATTTCAATTGTCTATCTATTACGGCACATGAGATACAGCTGGCTGACAGACAGAGTGGTAGCTTATTAACTGGGTTCCATTGGGACCCTTTGGGTATGGAGCCCTTAAACAAACTTACAAAAACTAGTAAGTAATCGTTTGAAAATGATTTCGTAGTCTCATGACAACTATTTTGTATATATTACAGGTGCAAAAGTATTCTGGCTTATACCACCGACGGAGAAAAATTTACAGCTGTATGAAAAATGGGTGCTGTCTGGCAAACAGTCAGATGTATTTTTTGGAGACACAGTAGAAAAATGCATCAGAGTTCATGTAAGTTTCCAAACACAACATAAAGCAAGTTCTGTTTACTCAAAAGTAATATCTGTGTCATAAAAAATAGGGTCGACTTTAGAGTGTTTTTAAGTTAATAGTCAAGTCATCTTTAATTGATGCTGACACAACTTTGATTGACGTTATATCCATTTGATTAGCCTACATTGCTCCTATAAATTTGATATTATCATTGTAGTGTAAATAGGACTCGGTTTTTTATCCTTGACATTACTTTTAATAAACAATATATAGAGACATTCTGAGAAAACAAAATATCACATATTGATGGAATTATGATTAACAACAAATTACCGAACCATAACTGATTAGTGTTTAAAAGATTTTGAAGTTATAAAGTGGCTATTAGGGTTAGATTTTTTAGAAATCTTTTGGAGAGAAAAATATTCAATCCTGTGAATATCTGCTAATGAAAGATAATACACTTCATATTGATTTACATTCAAACAAAGATATGCAAACTACTGTTCTTGTTTGAATAGAACCCACAATGTGTTTATATTTCGATACACATCAGTTGGAGGTTATGAGGACATAAACATGACGTGTAATTTAGATGGTTATAATAAATGATGATGAGGTAAGAAATCTATATAGTAAAGAAAAAATCTACTTTTCTTCAAGTATTAATTAGAGTTATTCTACAAGTCTTAATTAGAATTTAATACGATACTTATCTTATTTTACAGTTACAAGCCAGCCACACATTCTTCATCCCAACCGGGTGGATTCATGCTGTTTACACACCAAGCGATTCTTTGGTTTTTGGTGGCAATTTTCTACACCAGTTTGGTATTGAAAAACAACTTAAAATTGCCCAAGTCGAAGATGTTACAAAGGTGAAATAAAAATAACTTTTTTTTAGTTGTAAAACAATAAAACTATCAATAATGTAATGATTCAACTTCATTTATAAAATTGTAGTATTGATTATTGCAACAAATAACTCAATAATTAGTAGGTGTCCAAGGTCTTAAACATTGGGCGGCCACTGCCATGATGTGCTTACAGCGTTATAGTAAAACAGATTAGGTTCGAACTGCTACCCAGAGCTGTATCCAGAATAGTAGGTTAGGTTATAAAAGTATTGTTAAAAAATTTTTTGCTGTGCAATCAGTATTTTTGATGTTTGGGTTTTTTTGTTTTTTTTTTTTTGATTTGCTGTTAAATGCTACCCTTTCATTCATTGATTATTTTTGACATCATGTAAACCAAAATACCTATTTATTTAATTTTCTTTTAATGATTACAGGTGCCACAAAAATTTCGTTACCCGTTCTTCACGGAGATGCTGTGGTACGTGCTTGATAGATACGTGTCCGCGCTGTTGGGTCGATCGCATCTCTCCACGGATGGACAGACAACACTCACAGCACCTAAAGAACATATACATCTCACACAGAACGAGCTGCACGGGTTAAAGGTGAATATTTTTTAGTTTTTCACTAACATTATAATTGTTGTAAGATATAATAGGTTCTATAGTTCTAGTACACGGTATAGTAATATTTTTATATCCCCAGAGTACAGCACTTGATTAAAGGTACCCTACGTCCTTTTCTGTATCCTTTTGTAATGTGTATTCAAAATTTTATGGTCATTAGGTGAGTAGTTAAGGCATGTAAGTTTAACGAACGTACACACAAAAACCATGCAGTCTTATTTCACAGCTATAGTTGTCACTTGACATTTTTTATTCCGGTGACGTTTATAGGATAAATTTTGCATTAATTTTCCTCTCCTCTGCAAGTATTGATAATTCAAAAAATATTTTATTAATTTTAGTTTCGTTTCCTTTCAGGCTATAGTAATGTATCTACATCAGTTACCGGCAGCTCGTAAATCAGTGCCCGAATTACTGTCAGATCCTATCGCATTAGTCAAAGACGTGCGCACATTGGTCGAACAACACAGGCATGATAAACAACAACTAGCGATCACTGGCGTGCCAGTACTCAAAGGTAATATTATTTTCTTTAGAATTATTATTTGTTAGTAAGTTAGTAATATAATTAATACTCAGAGTAACGGTTTAGTATGAATTTAGATATTTTTAGTGTTATTCATTTACTCACCGATTTGAATAAGGTAAATTTGAATACTGTAATAACATTATACAAAGTAAATGTACTATTTATTCATATCAGATTTCATGTTTTATAAAGGATTACGGTAAAAATGTATATTTGAAGAGCGTTAATAGATACTGTTTCGCTTCCTACTTGTCGTGTTTGTAATGTAAACCGTGTGCGGTCAGGGCCGGACGACGTGGTGTCGGCGGAGCGGCGCGGCTCGAGCGGGCGCGGAGCACGTGGCGGCCTTCACCGCGGCGGGCCGGCGCGCCCCCGCCCCGACCACGCCAACAACGCGCCGCGCAGGAGGCGCACGCGGTACGTCACACAACCTCGTACTTGTACACACCACGCTAACTCTTGTAATGAGCCGTTTAAGTACTTGTAATAGACGATCAATATTTCTCTAGTACTTGTGAAGTGACCATGAAAATTGTTTTTTTTCCTAGTGTCGAATACAGCATCAAAATAGTCTTTTAAAAATTGTCACTAGTTTAAAAAAATATAATAAATAGCACGTTGTGCGCGTTGCGGTTGAAAAATGTAAAACAATTTTGTTTTGTAAAAACGTAACCTCTGCAAGACAGGTTCAAAATATTCTTAAATTATTGTTCGTACTTCAGGTGCAAGAAGTGTGAAGCTTGCCAACGTACAGATTGTGGCGAGTGCGTTTTCTGTCACGACATGGTCAAGTTTGGCGGCTTGGGCCGCGCTAAACAAACCTGCGTCATGCGACAATGCTTACAGGTATATTCTCATACTAATTTTGAATTCGTGTAATGAAACCATGTAATATTAACAAACCTAACCTTTTTTTTTTTTTTTTTTTTTTTAACGTGTGGAAATCCCCTCGGACCGTCACCCCACCGGGGTTTGCGGCGGGGTGGTGTGTCGGACTCGAACCGACTAAAACCACACGGTGTGCCCTCTTTGCGCTTCCAGTTTAGGAGGGGTCCAGGTAGTTATCGCCTTCTGGACCCCTCCTAGCGCCGGCCCGCTCCTATTGCGGGCCCCGTCTCAAGATTTTCCTCTCTTTAGGCGACGTCCGGCACACGCGGACGCCGCCCCCTCGCGGCTGGCCAACTAATGCGGGTGGAGGGGAAACCCACCCCGTCCACCCACGGCCACACTCAGGGCGGCATGAGGCGCAGGTAAGCGCGCCTCCGCCGCCCGGTTCGCCGGCGGCGGATCAGGTCCGAGTGGAGGTCGTCCTCCCGGGCCTTCTCCGCCGCCTCCTTCTGCGAGATTACCTCCTCGCAGAAGGTTGCGACCGCGGTAAAACAACTGTCGCTACCGGCCATGGAGCGAATTACGGCCGGTAGCGAGAGATCTGCTCCGATGACTGCAGTGAGGGCCCGGCGCTGCGTCGCCCATGCGGGGCAGACCGCCAGCGTGTGCTGGGCCGAGTCCTCACTGCAGTCGCAGTGGTGGCAGGCGGGACTCAGTTCCCTCCTAGCGACCGAGTGCAGGTACTTTCCGAAGCAACCGTGCCCGGAAAGCACCTGCGTCAGCCGGAAGGAAAGGGCCCCGTGCTGCCGCCCTGCCCACTCGGCTATGACCGGCTGGAGAGCCTCCACGGCGGCGAAGCCAGCGCGTGGAGTCTCCAGCCGGAACGACCATCTGACCATGGTGGCTCGGCGAGCGGCTTCGCGCCACTCGCGCACGTCCTCGGGCGGAGGGCGAAATCCGCTCTCCGCCCGGAAGTCAGCCACTCGCCGATAAACTTCGGCGAGCACTTCCGCCTCCAAATCCCACGGGGGTGTTCCGGCCAAGGCGCAAGCCGCCTCGGTGGACACCGTGCGGTATCCGCGTATGGCTCTGACCGCCAATATCCTCTGGGGGCGCCAGAGGCGCGCCCTATTCGGGGCGGTCAGAGCCGCCACCCACACCGGTGCACCATAAAGCGCCATGGACCGGACAACCCCCGCGTACAGCCGCCTCGTGGGAACACTGGCCCCGCCCAAATTGGGCAAAAGTCGCCCTAGGGCGGAGGCAGTGTCCACCAGCTTCGGACCAAGCTGTCGGAAGTGCTCGTCGAAGAGCCACCTACCGTCTAGGACCAGACCCAGGTACCTCATCTGGGCCCGGACCGGTACGAGGACCGAGCCGACCTCGATTGAGGCGCCGGCGGGTGGACCACGACGGGGCCCATGAAATAATAGGGCCTCCGTCTTATCCAGGGCCACCCGTAATCCCAACGCCTCAATGCGCCCGACCACCTGGGAAACTCCCGTGGCGGCCAGGCGCGCCGCCTCCTGGAAGTTAGCCCCCCGGGCCGTGAGTAAGGTGTCATCCGCGTAGCAGATTACACCCAGCCCGGGGGGGAGACGCCCTCGTAGGGCCCAGTCGTACCCGATGTTCCACAGGAGAGGTCCTAGGACAGACCCCTGCGGAACACCGCACGACATGGCCCTGCGTCTCAAGACGCCATTTCGGTCCTCGTACATGACGGTTCGCTCCTCAAGATAATCTGCCACCAGCCGCCTCAGGTACTCTGGCACTCCGTGGTAGCGGAGCGCTTCCCTGATGCAGCTGAATGGCAGACTATTGAAGGCGTTGGCGATGTCCAAGGACACCGCCAACACCACTCCGCCGCAGCTCACGGCCTCCTCGGTCACGGCCCTAAGGCGCATTACGGCATCGACCGTCGAACGCCCCGCTCGGAAACCGAATTGGGCGTCCGACAAATCGGGGCCAACCTCGCAAAGGTGCCGGACGATGCGGGCAGAGAGCACCCTCTCAAAAAGTTTACCCGCCTCGTCCAGCAACACGATAGGCCTATAGGCCGCGACCGATTCGGCAGGCCGTCCCGGCTTCTGCAGCAGGACCAGCTTCCCGCATTTCCAGCGCTCAGGGAAGCGTCCGGACGCCAGGCTAGCGTCCAACACCCCCCTGAGGTGGTCCGACATGTAGTCGAGGGCTCGGGCCATCACTCGGGCTGGAACCCCGTCCGGCCCGGGGGCAGTGTTCTTGGATCTAATCCGTAGAACAGCCGCCCCCAACTCCGATTCCCTGACGGGCGGAACATCAGCGTCGCTGCCCCCGTCGTCTCCGGCTGATGCAGCCATCGACGGGGGTGTGTGCTCCGCCCGCTGCGGGAATAGGCCCTCGACCACTTCCTGCAGGAAGCTGGGCTGGAGAGTCTCCGTAAGGGGGGGGCCCGACGTGCGGAGCTTTTGACGCACCGCACGATAAGGGCGACCCCAGGGGTCACGCTCGAGACTCTCCAGCATCTCCTCTCTACATGCATCTTTGGCGCGGCAGATGGCCAGCCTCAGAGTTTTCCGAGCTTCTCGGTAATCCTCATGAAGCCGGTCCACCTCCTCACCGACCCCGCGGTGACGTCGCCGACTACGGGTGAGGGACCTCCGGGCACGTACACAGGCCGCACGGAGGTCCGCCAACTCCTGGGTAACAAACCTAACCTAACCTAACCTATTTTTGTACTTTATTGTTGTTCTTTCTTTCATCGCACTATTCCCTACGGTTTTGTTAAATTTAGTAGTGTACGTCCTGCAAATATTTAATGTAACGCTACATAACTTAGTAAGTTTAAATCTCTCTCTTCAGTTATATTAACAAGACTAGTTAATTCCTTGTTAAAGTATTATTAATATCAATATTGTTGCAGTAAAGTAACTCTAAATGCAATAATTGGTAGTAATGTCGTCCCAGCATTAACTATATAATAATTAACGATTATGGTAATTTTTTTTTAGCCAATGTTGCCGGTGACAGCATCTTGCGCGGTATGCCACCTAGACGGCTGGATGCAGACACCCGTTGCCCCACAAGCCAAAGGAAATAACGGTAATTATTGACGCAATAATCATTTTGTTAAAAAAATTTAAGCTTATGCACTTCAATTCAGACTATATAAAAACGCAATACAAATAGGCAAGCTATTATAGTTTATTCTGCCTCTTTAAAATACCAAAAATATCATGTTATGTACTGAGACATACATATTTTCATTTTTCTTTTGTCCAGGTCGGAACGGTCCCTCCTCTCTTCGGGAGTGTTCGGTGTGCTATAGTATTGTGCACCCTGCTTGTGTACCACCTGGGGGCCAAATCAACGAGGATTTACCCAACTCGTGGGAATGCCCTACGTGCACCACTATGGGACTCAACCATGATTACAAGGTAAGCTACGAAACTTTTACTCTATCCATTATTTTTTTATTATTTCAAAATAGTCATATTTACCATAAAATCGATTCCTCGGCTTACAAATCTGAGCTACTGTGACCTACCTCTATCAAAACCATTCTTGATCGACAATTATTTGGCTTTTTTTTTTTCTATGTTTTTGTTTATAATAGTAAACTAGCGATCCGGTAGGTAGGTACTACTAAAACTACTAATGTGGTCTCAGGGTGGAATAATTACGGTTCGTGTCCGACATGCCACCGACAGGTGGTATCCGAGGGGATTTCCGCACGGAAAAAAAAAAAAAAAAAGTAAGGGTGGAATAATTAATATATTAATATGATAGGACTATACTACAGGACATCTTTAAATGCAATATTTATAGGCCTGCTTCGATGCTGCCGGCCGCTGCCATCCGGGAAGGACGTAAGGATCGACGGTCGTTGGGCCCCCGCATTTTAAACCACTAATATCTTCTAAAATATTTATTTTAATGATATGCTGTAAAGAGAAATTTTAATCTACAATAGTACTACGGTTCGTAGATCTTTTTAAGATGTAGGTACAAACCGTAGTACATTATTTTGGTCTATCTCCTAAGGTTTAGCCAGCGTTTGCAATGTAAGCGCACAAAAACATGTTTGTTAAGACAAATCTTTGAAATTCTCGGCGTTCCACTACTATAATATGCATGTGTTATGCATATAAACCTTCCTCTTCAATCACTCTCTCTATTAATAAAAAACCGATTTAAAATTCGTTGCTTAGTATAAAAGATCTAAGTGTACAACACAAAAAAGCGACTTTATTTTATACTATGCAAAGATGTATAAAATAGCAGATGCATAATTTTATTCCTGGTCGAAGATCAGGTTTTATATCATCGTCACGTCGAGTCTCGCTTTTATATATTTAAAGTATATATTATATACATTATTTCTAAATTTGCCTCAGTATGTTCATTAATTAAAAACAGTTGTGACTTTTTACTTATAATTTATCATATTGGGGTAAAGTAAACCTTACGGAAATATCCAACAAAGGATTCTGGTATAATGTTAAATTCGATATTTCTTTTTTCCAGCCCCGTCACTTCAGGGCACGCCAAAAGTCGTCAGACCTCAGGCGGATGAGTGTGGGTTCAGACGTCAGTCAGGTTAATCAGCACCAGCACCATAATTTACAGGTGAATAAATAAACAAGCATTACATTTTCTCTATCTATAAATCATAATAAAATATCTGTAAAAAAAAAACATTTTTATGAATTACACATTTTTTATTTAATAACCATTTAAAACATATTCGTCAAAAATGAACCTAACCTAAATATTATGATTCTGAATCTGGGTGTTCTTTGTGATCATTTCATGTATGTTTGTAAAGTCCCCCTTTTTTTTTGTTCCGTGCGAAAATCCCCTCTGATACCACCTATCGGTGGCATGTCGGACTCGAACCGACTAAAATCGCACGCCGTCTCGGGTACTAATAGCCCGGGAACCAGGTATACCCTAGAAAGGAAGTCCCTGGTGTGTAAAGTCCTCCTCGACACAGGATATATTCCTAGTGAGAGTTGCTCCATTATAATATAGAAACCTTTGTTAGTACTACTACTCCATGTGGTAAGTGGCCATTTATTGTACTTATTACATATATAATGATTTTGTATTTATTATTTTTAGAATAAGTTACCTCCACCACCACCACCAGCGCCAATGAAAACAGAAACCAGCTCTGATGGTGAAGGCAAGAGTGAAATTCCACATATCAAATCTGAAGATGGTAATTAATGTTATTTATTATTAACTGTATGTGTTGTCTTCCTTCTTCATATATTTGATATTTTTTAAATAATTAATTTATTTTTTCTAGAAATAAAACGCGAAGAAGAAAGTGGTGCTTGCGTTGGCGAAGGCGAAGGTTGGGAACCACCACTAAAGAAACGACGCGCGAGTGATGAGGATGAGGCACCTAAGAAACAGGCACTAAGGGCACATCTTGCACTACAGCTTACTCACCATTCGACCAAGGTAAGAAGCTGAGAATGAGGATTATGTCAAACGTGTAATTTTTAGATGTAACAATATGCATTCACATTATATCTATTCACTTTACACAATATAAAATTGATAAAACGTAGATTGTGTATGATAATATAAATTGTATTAAGTACTGATTTTAAATACTAAACTGTTTCTTTTGTGACACAGCTTTATCCTCATCACTTGGATCATTGGCTTTACTCAATCCACATTTGTTTCTGAATAGCAAAATGCTAATATAACGTGATATGTATTTGTAGATAATGAAGAAGCCGATATACCCTATCCGTCCGGCGGCGGGTCTGGGTGTGGGCTACAACGCGGCGGGCGCGGCGTGGCTGGACCGCTCGGCCATGCTGTGCGTGTTCGCCAAGCTCACGCCGCACGAGCTCGCAACCTGCGCGCTCGTCTGCAAGGCCTGGGCTGAGTATTCCGTGAGTACACTCATTCAAAACTACCAAGTTTTTATATGAGATATAAAAAAAAAGATCAAGCTAGAACTGTAATATTACAAGTAAATGATATGTATGTCGCATTGAAAATTTAAACTAAGACCCTTCCGATATCTTAGAGGCGAAGTACGTGGCAGTTACGTACGTAAAAAAAGTATTATCAACCCCTCGCAATCCACCACTTAGGAAATTAGCCTAACCAATCCATCACAGCTATTTTCCTTAGATTCTCGGTCTATTCGACGTTTGGTCCGATGTCCGTCGACCTTCCTATAGATGTAATCACTTCTTTCCTAGTTCAGAGTTCAGCTTTTAGCTTTGGTTCTTTGTTGATTTATCGGTAAAAACTGCGTAATGTTGAAATTTAGCTGGACAGTATTTTTGTTTTAGATTGTATATTAAATGATATGTGTGTGTAGATGGACCCGTCGCTGTGGCGCAGCATGTCATTCGTGCAGGTGCGCGTGTCGGCCGCGCAGCTCGCCGGCATCGCGCGCCGCCAGCCGCTGTCGCTCGGCCTCGAGTGGTGCCACCTCGCTAGGAGGCAGCTCGCCTGGTCAGACCACCTTCTATATTTATACATATATATTTCAGCTATCACTCAAAATTGTTTTAATTATCTGTTAGTCTAGCTAGTGATTAGTGACTGCAAGTCGTGGGTTCGATTACCTCACACGACAAATATTGTGTGATGAGCATGATCATTTGTTCTGTGTCTGGATGTAATTTATCTATAATATGTATGTATTCAGAAATATATAAATGTGAAGTTAATATGATTACCTCAACTTATGCTCGTCTTTTACACCATAAAAGAACACACGCAATACTTATGTATTGAGAATTCAATTTAAAAACGTAAAATATAATAAAATGAGATAAAATATTAATTTCAATAACAAAAATATTTAGAGAGGCTAATAGTATAATTTTAATTTTATAATTTTTTATATTTGGGTATTTTACTTTTCAAAACGTAATAACGATTTGGCGACATAGTATATCTATTATTTGAGGGGGAGTAATAGAGAGATTCAAAAATATATGTGCAGGTTGCTAGCTCGCCTCCCAGCCCTTCGCTCGCTGTCCCTGGCGGGCTCTCCGGCGGAGGCGGCGCTGGCCCTGCGCTCGGCGGCGTGTCCCCCGCTGCACGCGCTGGACTTGTCCTTTGCGCGCGCGCTGGACGACGCCAAGCTGCGCGGCATCCTCGCCCCGCCCGAGTCGTCGCGCCCGGGCGGCGGGAACGTCACCGGCGCAGAGCCCAGCCGCCTCGCCGCACTGCACACTTTAAGGCTGCCCGGCACTGACATCACCGACGTTGCCATGAGATATGTTGTCCAGGTACCTATCTTACTGATATACTCTTTCTTGGGCTGCATTGACGTCACGACACCTACGAGCAAAGCCTTTTGCCGACTATATTTAATCAGTAAACACTCGCATAAGGGAGCAAATTTATCGGCGTAAACCATTGTCGATGTCGATGAGTCTCATTTTTTATATTGAAAATATAAGTACTTTGGGATTTGTTGGACTGAGTCTTATTTAAAGTGAAGGGCAAGTAAAAAGAAAAGAGAGATATCCCGTAATCAATCTGCCTGTTGCCAAAAAACGCTTTCTTAAGCAGTTCCGAGTGCACAAACGATACTATTGACTATATCAAAATAAAGAAATGAGCTCTAGAAATTAAAAAAGAGGCATCATAAAATAGATTGACTAGAATTAGTGGACGTTTATTTCTACTTAGTAGAGTATTTTCCTTTACACATTCTTCGCGATATCGCATGGCAACCTCTAGTACAAATAGAATAATATGTTGGTTGTGCGTGCGGTTGGGCAGGCGCTACCGAAGCTGGTGGAGCTGGACGCGTCGTCGTGCGCGCGGCTGACGGACGCGGGCGCGGCGCAGCTGGCGCACCACGGCCTGCAGCGCCTGTCGCTGGCCGGCTGTCGCCTGCTCACCGAGGCCGCGCTCGACCACCTGGCGCGCTGCCCCAACCTCGTCAGGTACAACTCTACTTCGCATGTCTGCCTTATTATTGCTCTAGTTATATTCTTCTATGGCTTTGGGACTTACTTGACTTCTTGTCTATTATATTATCATATAATTAGAGTATTACATAGACAGACTTTGACTAGGTACTTTACAGTGTTGCAGACAGCAGTGACTCAAGTATGTACAAAGTACTACGTACCTTAGTGACGTGACATAACTTACTAACGTAGTGATGTTACAACAGTTCTGTCTTTCATTTTCTTTTGTGTTGATGAGTAGTCATTACTGATTAAAAATAATCTAAGACTGCACGCATGGCGTAGTGGTTTAAGCGGTCGCCACGCGGCTTTCTACTGCGCTGAGTGTTGTGGGTTCGGTCCCGACTTGGAATAACCCTTTCATGTATGTTTGTGTTAAGTCCCCCGCGACACAGGATATATTCCTAATGCGGGAGTTGTCTTTTTATAAAAAGAAAGAAGAAAGAAAGTGAATTTCAAAATCATTTAACAAATACTGTTCCTTAACTGTAAACTGGATTTTATAGTACTGAACGCTGAACTTTGATAGTATGCTTGACTTGGGGAGTAAGACTGTGAATGCGTGAGAGGGCGTTACGAAAAGTGTCATCGGGCGATGCGAACGGAAGTTGAGAGGGAGATATAAGTTAGTGAAGATAGAAAAAGAGCACACATTTTCTTTCTCTCTTTCTCTCATAGCCAAGAAGTTTTACTTCAGTCGTGTGGTCTAAAGCATGGTCTTTTTTAATGTAAAAAGTAACATACATAAAGTGTTGTACTCCAAACCACTCCACTTTATATTAATCTTTTATTATTATACTGAGCCTGTGAATTATACTACTACACTTCGACAGCGGCTGCGAACAATTAGTAATAAAATTCAATGTATTTATTTTAAAATTGTAATCATATAATGTGTATCTATTTCCGACAAGATTAACAACAAAATGTAACAGAAAGTCTAATAACAATACCATAAGAAGATTAACAACAAAATGTAACAGGAAGTTTAATAACCTACGAGACTAATATGTTAGTAAAAAAATGGCATTGCCTACAGTACAACGTGGGCGTTCGAAGGGAATTGACAACGGTAGCCGGCAGGGAATCGCATTCCACGCAAGTCTCAACTTATTGCGCACGGATAGTATATATTTTTGGAACTAAATTTAGTAAGTGGTAAATTATTTTCATTGCCAGGTTGGATCTGCGACACGTGCCTTTGGTGTCAACACAAGCAGTCATCAAATTCGCCGCTAAGTCTAAGCACAACTTGCACGTAAAAGATGTGAAGCTTGTCGAATTGAGGAATACCTGATCCGAGGAGGCGGGCGAGTCGCCGCCTACCACGCCGCCCGATATTGAGGACACTCCCGCGGTGAATTAGATAGTGAGTGACAGTGTGTTGGTCGCATACAAACACTATTTTTGTGGTATTCACGCACTTCTAATGTAAATCAAAGACTATTAGAATCATTTGAACATGGCCAAAGCAAACACTAGTTTCTTTTGTGGTATGCAGTGGGAGTATTTAGTACTCAAATAATCTAAAGTAAATAGTTTCTTAGTCTTTGTTTTGGCCTACATAGTGTGCGGCTTTGTTAGTTCTACAATAATCCTTTTACTAGATGAGTCTTTAAAGATGCTAGATTATGCCATAGAAAGAGTTTAGGCTCAAGTTAAACTCCGGTGAATATAATACGAATATCATTAATTTATATTCACTAAAATTCAGAATGAATGTACTAGTATGCGGTTATGTTACCTACATTATTCTGCATTATTACATGCTCAACTAATCAAGCAAAATAGTCGATATTAATAATATCAGATTTCTTTGGCAATGCCCAATTTGTACAGTAAAACATTTAACACAGTAGAAATGAAATCGTTTTCCAAACACCTTTAACAGTGCACTTGTTTCTTTGTTCTATTATTTTCCATTGGTTTGCCTGCACACCTGGTTTATATCTAAACTGAATAGCTTGCTGGTGTCATCCTTATTGATTGGTGAACATTTAAAAAGCTCTCTCTTGCATCGTTATTATCCATACATTCAATATTAATAAAATATTGATAAAGATGGGTTCCTAGACTATACTAGACACATATCCTAAATATTGTATCAGATGTTTATGGTGTAATATTGTGTAAAAAAATATTGCGAGTCAGATACTCCGTCTCACCACAGGTTTGTACTGTTTGCCAACAGTGTAACGAAACAAGCGGACACACCGTCATCACTTTAAAAAAAATATTATACTATTTCACAAATAACAATATAAAGTACTAACATTCTTTTATTGACTCATCTAATATATATGTATGTTAAAAAGTTTGCTATTTCCTAAGACGTGTCGGAACAATTTTATGTGCTTTTGGAATATCGATTTCTTATAAGTTTTGAAGCACATTCTAGTCTAGTTCTAAATCATCGACCTTTAGAAATAGTAACCGCTTCACCCTACTTTTCTCATGACAGCTTATTAAGTACTTAATTCTAATTGGCATTTATCCTTGGAAACTGTATGTTTCTACTCCTTATTTTGTTCTTCTAGCACCTGTTACATCGTATCTTTGACGCAGAAATTGTCATCTTTGTACAACATATCAAAATATGCAATCAACACACAGTTTCTTCTACTAAGTGTAGATATTAATGCAAAGACTTGATTGATGCCTACTTTGGTACTATTGTTAAAGTGATATGATTGCTGTTTTAGGAAAAATATTATTAGAAAAGATTGGTAAAACTACTAAAAAGAAATCATTACATAAAATTAAAAGTATTGAAAATAAAACAATGTTTAGTTGATATCTTTTTATGTATGACTCGTGCCAACATAATTTCTATTATGAAAGAGCACATATATCACTGCACAATCAAATAAATATATTATAGTTATATCTTATATATTAATTTTATTGCATGCTGTTGCATCTGTATTATATTTTATCATTTGTTTACGTTTATTTCTCTTAGTTAAAGACCGTTTGGACCACAAGAGGCTCCTATTTTAAACATTGACTGAAAAATTCTGAAATTATTGTTGAAATGCGTAAAAACAACATTTTGCAATATCATTCACAACTCGAAACAAAGATAAGTATATTTTTTGTAATTCGATTATTACTGTTTAAGACTTTCAATATGTTATATTGCATGTCTACAAGTAAGTTGTGGGTGATATTACAGTAAATTGTAGTCTATATGTATGTATAAATATTTTCTGCACAATAATTCTCTTGTAAATAGCATTTGATTTTATTTATTAAATAGTAATTTCCATAAAGAATGCTAAGTTTTAGTTCATGACAATTCAAAATTGCTTAGGTTGTATTTTTTAGATCTAGTCCCTTTTAGGTTTAAGCAGTAATTTCTGTGACAATGTCGAATTCTGTAAAAGTATTTTTGAATTGGTTATTGACTGTGAGATTGCTTGTGATTTGTGTGGGAGAGATCGTAATTTACGCAGTAGCCTTGTATTATATATCAAATTGTGACACCACACAGACTTGAGTCACATTTAAAGTATTTTTTAATTAGCATTAGAGTTTGCGAGTCGCAGCCGGCCTTTAAATGATACCCCAGGCCACAGTTATCTCAATCACTCCAAAGAAAACTCCATTTTTTAATTTATTGCCCCATAGAAAGACAATACGGATAATGATTTAGTTCGAAATATTATATAAATTAAAAGATGGGGTAATGTGTTTACTTCCAGAGCAGGATGTATATATTTAACAGTTATCATTATATTAGTGTATAAGTAACCGACTCTGGTCACAGTAAGCGAGGTCGGGGGGCCGCCTATAGTATTAGTTTAGAAGATATAATGACCTTTAACTGTAAAAAAAATAATAGATGGGATGCACTTGTCAGGTTTTGTGTGGCAAAGCAAGATGTGTCACAGGATTCATAGAAATATTTTTAGAATAAAATCTCATTGTGTGTTTAATTAATATGTGTCGAATGTAGGAGTCATGTGTTACTTACTATGTTGACCAAGAATTATAACATTTCTTGTAGAGAACTTTGACAAGTGCATACAACCATGTCATGGACTGTAAAATGTAGAGTGAGATTGGTTATCTAGTAACATTTTTACTGGATATTGTAAACTCTACATTATCGAGCTAGTTACTAAGCAGTGTGTGCCTCTGTTATAGACAATTAGCTATAGTAAATAAAATGTTTATAAAATTATACTTGTGAATTTGATGTTCATCAAAATTGAGTTTGGATTTAAATTAAAAAAAAAAAAACAAAATTGATGAGTGATTTTCCCTTAGGTTAAGATAGATATTATTTAGTTTTGTAAGCTGCCTTTATGCGAGTTGATCGATATGAGATAGCATTTTTATATGTCTCGCATGTAGGCGTCGTTGGCAGTTACGGTGATATTACAGGCCAATGGCTAGGTTTATGTATAGCGATATTATGCGACATTAACGTTCACAAAAAGTAACATTGTATCATTGGTTACCATAAGCATAAAGTAATATTGGAAATAAATATTTACAATGAAGTATATCTTGTTTTTTATTAAGTATTATTTGTGTCAAATGTCAGTTGTAGTTGCACCTAATAATTTCAACTCCCAGATAGTCCTACTATCTCTCACTGATTCGACCCGATAGGTCGATCGACTAATGTGGGTCTGTAACTCAGCAAGTATATATGTATGTGTATCTCGGTATGTATATATGTATATCTGTCACACTGGTTCTGTTCATATCCTTAGTTATTAATTTCTCGTTACATATAAAACTTATTTCTATTGCACCTACTCAGACATTTCCCCACAACCCAAAGGTAGACTGGGAGAAAATGCCTCTGGCATTAAGTCCGCCATTGAACAATGAATTGTTGTTTGTGGAAAAAGAATTAAATAAATTAAAAATAAATAATTAGCAGATCAATCATATGATCTCGGAGGTTATTGAGGGATTCCTATGTCTAAGAGAAGCATTCTTCTGGCTGAAAGAGTGATGATAAATATTCTGGCATGGCATTACATTATATCTGGTACCTTCAACATGGTTGACCTTGACGATGATTGACGCGTTCCTCATGATCGTTAACAGGTATCATTATTATTTGGAGCTGATAATCTCGTGACTACCATTACTTCAAACCATCGACCACACTTACTGGAGCAATTGCTTGGATACACTTGATCTATCCGCATAATCAATAACTTGTTTTCCAGTTAATGATTTTTTTATGGCATAAGAAGGCCGCTCCCGACTCGTGGTCCAACCGCTATGACCAACTGGTTGTACCGCAGGTAAGTAAAGCTATCCATGACCCAACTTTGAGTATTTTTCTTTTCTGTAATTTATTGTTATGACCCGTGGTACAACTGGGGGGCTGTTGTCCAACTGGTGTATGAACAAATGCTTTGTCCAACTAGTTGTACCACACGTAAGCAAAACTATGGATGGTCCAACTTTAAACCTGTGTGTATAATGTATTTTCAATAAAAAATCTTTGCAATTACATAATTTTAAGTATTTGGTAAGAGATCAAAGCGCGCCTCCGCTGTCCGGTTCGTCGGCAGCGAATTGGGTCCGAATGGAAATCATCCTCCCGGGCCCTCTCCGCCGCCTCCTTATGCGAAATGACGTGTTCGCAGAAAGATGCGACCGCGGTAAAACAACTATCACTACCGGCCATGGAGCGTATGACGGTCGGTAGCGAGAGATCTCTTTCGATGACTGTAGTGAGGACCCGACGCTCCGACGCCCAAGGCGGGCAAGTTGCCAGCGTGTGCTGAGCCGAGTTCTCATTGCAATCGCAGTGGTGACAGGCGGTTATTTCCTTGGCACGGCTAATGGCCAGCTTTAGAGTTTTCCGCACCTCTCCGATCTCCTCATGAAGCCGGTCCTTCTCACCGTCTCCGCGGTGATGCCGCCGACTGCAGGTATAAAACCTGCGGGCACGTGTACAGGCTGCACGGAGGTCCGCTAACTTCTTTGACCACCATTAGATCTCTTTCCTTGGAGGCCGACGACCTCAAATGCATGGCCGCATCGCAGATTTGCGTCATCGCATCGAGACTAGCTCCCATGTCAACCTCCTGGATCGGGCCTGAGGGGACAGCCAGGAGTAAATTATGGCTGCCTCCTCTAGTAGGTCCCTGTTCAGTTTAGCAACAGCCCACCGCGGAAAGCGGGAGGACCCCTAAATGGGTCCTAGGTCCGGGAGAGCTCAAATCGGATAAATAAGTGATCCGAGAGTGTTTCAACCTCTTCTAGGACACGTCAGTCCTTTGCTCGTGCGGGGTAGCGAACGAAAGATCCACTATCGACCCC